AAAAAAAAAAATCATGAAATCATGAGTTGAGCAATATCTTTGAAAGACAAAAGTCATTCTCCACAAGAAGCAATGCAGTATCCCAGCCAAGAGTGGCTCCGTCTTGATCATCACACTCTGCAACAGGTCACGTTGGACCCTAATGCTGACCTACCCTGTTTTGCAGTTCTCACATCACAGATAATCACCAACACTGGCTCTTGAATCTTCTCACTGGTCCCCTCTCTTGCAGGTTGCTTAGTTCTGGGTGCGTTCCCAGCGGGACCTGTTCACTGGGTAAGTCAACTTGCCTGGGAACACGGAGGCCCATGCTGTCTGGTCTGCTCGCTGGTGATCTGCGAGTTTCTCTGTCTTTGGATCAGACTCCTGTCACATAATTCCAGGCCACTCCAGTATCACCTAACATTTTAACCAGATTGGAGTGACATATGAGACCAGATCGGAGCAAATCTGGAGGGAGACGTTTAGGGAAAGGGAACAAACTTGGTGTCTTGGAAGAAGAGCAAACAGCTGAGTTTGAAGTGTGGAGAGAGATAGGATGGGGAGACAGAAGCCTGGGACACGACTGTGGCCACAATTTTTCAGGGTCTGATATGCTTAGACTTTATTGGGTCTTTGAATCGCATCCTGCATCTTTGGTACCCTTGAGACCAGGTGGGTGACCGCTGCTCCTGGTTATACCTTTGACCATCACTCTGGCTACTGGACAGGCAAAGACAGAGGCAGGAAGCAAGCTGGGGGAAGCGGTGGGGTGCTGTCTCTCCAGGCAAAAGACCAGGAATGAATGGGGAGGCCTAGGACACCCCTTTACACCACAATATGACTGACAGTTCTCACATACAAGGAAAGGAAAAGGAGCTTCATTTCTATAATGGTAATGAAATAAAACAGAAAAGCAATAATATTCATTACAACTTCTCATCATTCCTCTTTTTTTTTTAGACAGGGTCTTGCTCTGCTGCCCAGGCAGGGGCCTTGAACCCCTGGACTCAAGGGACCCTCCTGCCTCAGCCTCGAAGCAGCTGGGTTTTCAGCTCTACAGGCACCACTGAGACCAACCTGATCCTTGTCTTGGTGCTGATATTTGAAGAAAAGCTGGTTTTATTAAAAGAAAGACTTAGAATTAGGTGGAGATTTATAAAACGTCCGATGGGAACTTCTGGGTACCATCAAGAGCTTTAGAAATCAAATGAAATAGTTCTATATTATATTTAATCTTGCTCTAAAAACTTATAACTTTTAGTTCCACTGTAGGAGTATGGGCTCATCACCCATGATTAACCTTATCTTTTAGATTACAAAGGGGAAGTGGAGAACATCAGAAAGA